CTTCCCTCTAGTCTTACACTGCTAAATTAGGGACGGCTAGCGCAGATGGCACTAGTGTGGCTTTGCGCGAAATTCAAAAAACAAACAATATACACGTCTAAAGTTACTTTTTTTTTTATCCCATTTCTTAGTTTAATTAACATCAACGCACAAGCTGTTTCAGAATGTTTTTTTTTTTTTTTTTTAGCTCTCATTTGAAGTTGTCTGGAATGTTTATACTTTTAAATATCCGTCTGCTTTCTTGTATGGCGTTTATATTGCAATAAATCATTTAGTCAAAATTAACGCTCCACTGGGACTTTGTTTGTTTGTTTGGAATTAAGCACAAAGCTACACAATGGGCTATCTGTGCTCTGCCCACCACGGGTTTCTAGCGTTGTAAGTCCGCTGGGGGGCCCACTGGTGGACATTTTTACAGATATTTAACATAGGTTTTTTTCCATAGATATATTTCCAGATCGCAGTACTACACACTCTAAAAAGTCTATCGTAACTCATTAACAATGTATTTTAAAGTATTTTACAAGATTTATAGCCTAAAATGAAGGGTGTGATGTTCACTTTATTTATCCTCTTTTAAAATATGCAGTGGACGAGAACGGAAACGTTGATTACTTCAATAAAAAATAATGTATTAGTGAGGAAAGGGTCGTAGGTTTTAAAACTTTGAAACATAAAGAGGGTTCTCTTATCATATTGAAAACTTTTTTTTTTTTTTATCTCGCACAAAGCAACACGAGGATTATCTGCGCTAGCCGTCACTAATTTAGCAGGAGGGAAGGCAGCTAGTCATCACCACCCACCGCCAACTCTTGGGCTACTCTTTTACCAACGAATAGTGGGATTGACCGTCACATTATAACGCCCCCAGGCCTTATGAAAACTGTTTTCATAAGATTGATAACGAAACTTGCCATCTTGACAACGGAAGTACCACCCCTCACAACGAATCTTACCTTCTTGACAACGGAAGTACCACCCCTCACAACGAAACTTGCCATCTTGACAACGGAAGTACCACCCCTCACAACGAATCTTACCTTCTTGGCAATGGGTGTGTGACCCTTAGCAACGAAATTGACAATCTTGACAACAACCGTGTCATCCCTACATAGGTGTGTTTGTCATC